ACTATACAGTAGATAATAGGGGACAGGGAAAATTCTAGGACAATGGTTATCAAACTAGGGCATGGCTAAGAATCTCTTTGGGTGCTCATGTAAGACACAAGTCTTGGGCCCCATTCACACAGTTAACTGGGTAGAATTGGTAGGGGCCCAGGAATCCACCTTTTAACAAACCTCACAAGTGATTCTCATGCAAGTAGACCTCCCTGGATCTCAATTTGAGAATCATGTGATAATGGTATAAAAAAAATCTCAGTCTAGAAACATAGCTTAGGAGCAGCTCACGGGAGTTTAAATGCTGAACTAAATAAGCTATGTGGTTGATATGAGCAGTGAGAAGCCAGACAATTATTATCAATTTTTCATGGTGAAAATTGTTCTGTACAAGTAGTGCTCATAGTCTAGGGAATTTTTACACCACCATATTCAGCAATTATCAGGATTTTTCTACATTTGTTTCATTATTTCTTTTTCATATTATTAATATTGATAATGAAGTACTTTAACACAAATCATAGACCTCATGTTATGTAACCACTGTATGTTTCTAGATGCATCGCTAGTTTCCTAAATAATCACATTGCTTTTAGTACCTAAAAAATTAACAACTTAGTGGAATCATATAATACTCAATTCATAGTCACATTTTATTAACTGACTTTTAAGAATATTTATTTTATTACTAATTTGAATCTGAATCCAAACTATGTCTACACATTGCGTTTGATGCTGTATCTTAAGATTGTCTTTGGTTTTTAAGATTCTTAATCAAGAGTAGTCTGTTTTCCTTCCTTTTTAAATTTATTTTATTTATTTATTTATTTGAGATAGAGTCTCAGTATGTCATCCTCAGTAGAGTGCCTTGCTGTCACAGCTCACAGCAACCTCAAACTCTTGGGCTTAAGTGATTCTCTTGCCCCAGCCTCCCAAGTAGCTGGGACTACAGGTGCCCACCACAATGCCTGGTTATTTTTTTTTGTTGCAGTTGTCATTATTGTTTAACTGGCCCAGACTGGCTCTGAACCTGCCAGCCTCGGTGTCTGTGGCCGGCAGCCTAACCACTGTGCTATGGTTGCTGAGCCTCCTTCTTTTTTTTGATTTCGTGGATTATTGAACTTGAACATTTGTTGTATAGGACATTTCTCAGTATGGGCCTTTTTTGTGTTCTTGGGGTGTCATTTAACTTAATTTGATATCCCCCATATTTCCTCTAAACAAAAGGTTAACTCAATGGCTTCATTAAATTCAGATTTACTTTCTTTTTTTTTTTTTTAAAGGATACTTCATAGGGGTCTGTGTACTTTATAATGCATGAAACTAAAAAGCACATAACATCATGGTCTCCTATCCTAAAAGATGCTAAGATTGACAAGTAGTTTTAAGGGGTGACAGACCAATTCCTTCATCGTAAAGTTTCTCAACAAACTTTGATCTAATTGGCTCATTCATTCTTAATCATTGCCTTGATAAAATTTTTCACTAGGAGTTGAAAAATGTTTTGAATCTTTTATTTCTTCTACCTTTATTATGGGGAATTATTCTGAAAAAAATTCCTATTGTTAGTTAAGTCTGTTTGATTACTCTGAAATACAGTGCATCTAGGAATGACAGGATAAATGCTTCATTCTTTCCCATAACTGTCATATGTTAAGGTTGCTGCTGCCATCTTCCTGCCCCCACAGATGCTCTATTTCAGGCACCCTCACACTACGGCCCACGGGCCACATGCGGCCCGCCAAGGACATTTATCCGGCCTGCCAGGAGTTTTTGCCACAGCTGCCTGTCCTGCTTAGCAGCCGACTCATCCCAGGGCCGCAGTCCAGCCTCCAATGGTCTGAGGGACAGTGAACTGGCCCCCTGTTTAAAACATTTGAGGACCCCTGCAGTCTATTTGGTGTTTTGACATCCCCTGCTACAAACCCTCCTTAAGATCACCCTGGTTACTGCTCAGGATCCAACCTCATGCACAGGGCCTTGTGTCCCCTTCCCCCCAGCTCATGTGTTAGGCGTCCTCTGCCCCCACCTAAAGGAAGAGAAGAGGATTAAAAAAAAGCAGGGGGGAGGAAGAGGGAAGAAAAAAATAGCCTCCTATTTATTTTAAGGGTCAAAGATATGTATTTCACCATAAACTACCAAAATTCTTACTACTCTTCACATGACTGGGACACTCTAATTCACTCACTTATATGTTGACATTTGTTTCAAGAAAGTAAAAATACTGACAACTACATATAAAGTTGGCAAATCAGGACCTATAGTGTAAGTATTTGACCCATGAAGCTGCTTGAGCTCAATGGAAAGTGAGTATCTTGCAGCTCTACACTCAAATTTAAAGTACAGGCACAAAGTTTGGATAATGCAAGCCCAGGGAGAATTTGGCCATCCTGTACATTGATAGTGACATTATGCAAAAGAATTCCAGGAGTAACTTTTGGGAGCTGGGAAAAGTCTGTCTGGGGAATCAAGTGCAACATACCCAAACAATACTCCTAGACTCTAGTTGGTTAGGCTGCCAGACACATGGAGATGATGGTTAATCGAGTTTCTGAGTTCCACTTCTGCACCCACAGCTACTAGCAATTACTTTTTCAGATAGTATCTGTGATGTAGCACGACCATTTTATATTAATAGTAACTATCATTAAAATAGTAAATATCATTTGTAGATTTCAACAGTAACCTGTCCAATCACCGAAAAATGGGAGAATTTTCCCCCCACCTCCAAAAGACACAGGATGAATTTTTCTGTGTTCTCATCAATGGTTTATAGAATACGTTTGGGAGGTTTCTTGTTTTGTTTTGTTTTTACATGTCTTTATTTAACTCATTTATTTCAGCAGAACTACCATTCGCATCAGAATCCAGCCAGCTCTCAACTTTCTGGATTTTAAGGTAGGAAAGTCCTAGACTGTCCCTACACATTAGAAAATGATCAAAGTTAAAAAATAATGGATGGAAACTGATGATTAAGCATCATTTTAGCACTCTGTTCTACCCTTCTATATGTTTATAGGATATATATATATAATATGTACACATACATATATGCATTAGTTACATACGTTATGCTCAGCGGAGAGCTTTCTGCAGATTACAAGCCTCACTGGCCACAGGTGCTGGGGAAAGGGTACCGGCAGGATTAGGGGACCTAGAATTTGGGGTACTATAGCTAGGCCACAGCTGTATATTGTAATGTATACACACACATATAACTAATATATACGTGTAATATATATATAGATAAATAGATATAGAGATTAGATATAGATAATTAATTCAGTCCAGTCTCAGAAATTCTCTTGTCCAAGGAGTTCTAGATGGCAGGTTAGAGCAAGACCCCTGTGCACACGTGGTATTAGTGAGAACAACTTTCAGTCTCCTCTGGCCACCGCAAGGACAGACTCCAGCGAGCCACCTATGCTGGTTCTTCCTCTTGCCATCATACATAGAGGACGAGACTCCTTTGGGGATGACAACCACGAGAAAAACAAAAGCAGCAGTAACACCAGCTTGTTGCTTCCCACTCGGACGCCCTGGGACTGTGAGCTGAGCGCCAGGAGCTGAGGCGCTGGGTACAAGCTGGGGCGTGCCCAGGGCCGAGGAGTTTCTTGATTGGCTCTTAGCTGAGAATATGGGAGGCTGGGGCTCAGGGAACTCCACCCCAGGCAGGTGCTAACCTGGGAGTTAGTGTTCCAGCCTCACCGAACGTGGTTTGAATGCTTTGGGACGCCAACCCTAACTAACTAAAGGGAGGGGTAAGGTTAAGTTAAACTGTAGTTTCTGGTTGTCCGCTGAAGAAGCTATGATCATAGAAAACCAAGGGCTCCCGAGAAAGAAGGGAGGAAACTCCGGGCTTCTGTCCTTCAGCAGCGTTAAGCGAGGAATGCTGGCGCCTTTCATTTTCCCTGGGCACCTTCCCTTGGCTTAGCATTTAGTAAGGAGTCCTACTGTGTGTGTCGAAATTCGGCCTATACTGTAAGATATCTCTGTCCCAACGTGCTCACCAGTGATCCTTCTGCAAATTACAATCCTCATCCGCGGCGGGGTGCTGGGGAAAGGGGACGGAGAGGATTGGGAGGGTCTAGAATTTGCTGTCCTATAGCTAAGCCACAGTTTTACTTTCCATTAAGGAAAATATTACTTAACAAAGTCGAACTAAGAGATCTCACGCAAAAGATGAAAAGACGTAGCAAAATTTAGAAACATAATCTGAGACAGGATTTCTCCTCTTTATTCTAAACGACAGACGTCATTTAGTGTTACATACATTTACGAACATGCATGAGAGATGTGTGTAATCTACATATTAGTTTACGTACATCATATTACATATGAGAGATTTTTTTAATGTTTGGGCAATCAACGGTGGGAGCTGTGATCCTCGCTTGGAGGCAGCGCAGGGCAGGCGGGCCTCCGCTGTGAGCGCGCTCCGGGCGCCAGGCGCGTCCAGCCTCGCCCAGAGCCACCAGCAGCCGAGCACTGCTCACCGGAGCCCGCTGGGGCACCTGCGGAGAGGCGGCTCTGCACCAGCCCAGGCACCCAGACGCTGGGGCAGTGACATGCACCGGCGTCGAATTACAGCCCTGCAATTAACATATGAATTTGAGGAACTTAAAAGAAGAAGGAGGGGAGGGAAAAAAAAAACCTGAGCTGATGCCTTAGTCCTGTGCACACAAGAACTTTTCTCCGGGTGTAAAAACTCTTTGATTGGCTGCTCGCACGCGCCTGCCCGCGCGCTCCATTGGCTGAGCAGACACGCGACCGGCGCGAGGAGGGGGCTGGGAGAGGAGCGGGGGGAGACTTAGTGGCGCGTGCCGCTTTTTAAAGGGGCGCAGCGCCTTCAGCAACCGGAGAAGCTTCGTTGCACGCGACCTGGTGTGTGATCTCCGTGTGGGTGGGGGAGGGTCCAGGAGAAAAAAAAAATAAGACGTTGTAGAAGAGACCTGGGAAGGGCTTTTTTTTTTTTTTTTTTGGTCGGGCTGGTGTGCCAGTTGCTTCCTGCGACCCTGAGTCTCCGAGCCTTTGCTCTGCAATGTCCCGCCTGCTGCATGCGGAAGAGTGGGCTGAAGTGAAAGAGCTGGGGGATCACCATCGCCATCCCCAGCCGCACCACCTCCCGCAGCCCCCGCCGCCACAGCCACCTGCGACTCTACCAGCGAGAGAGCATCCCGTCTACCCGCCCGAGCTGTCCCTTCTGGACAGCACCGACCCACGCGCCTGGCTGGCTCCCACTTTGCAGGGCATCTGCACGGCACGCGCCGCCCAGTATTTGCTGCATTCCCCGGAGCTGGGTGCATCCGAGGCCGCCGCGCCCCGGGACGAGGCGGACGGCCGTGGGGAGCTGGTAAGGAGGAGCAGCAGCTGTGGCGGCAGCAGCAAAAGTCCCGGGCCGGTAAAAGTGCGGGAACAGCTGTGCAAGCTGAAAGGCGGGGTGGTAGTGGACGAGCTGGGCTGCGGCCGCCAGCGAGCCCCTTCCAGCAAACAGGTGAATGGGGTGCAGAAGCAGAGACGGCTGGCAGCCAACGCCAGGGAGCGGCGCAGGATGCACGGGCTGAATCACGCCTTCGACCAGCTGCGCAACGTTATCCCGTCGTTCAACAACGACAAAAAGCTGTCCAAATATGAGACCCTGCAGATGGCCCAGATCTACATCAACGCCTTGTCTGAGCTGCTACAAACGCCCAGCGGCGGGGAGCAGCAGCAGCCGCCACCAGCCTCCTGCAAAGGTGACCACCACCACCTTCGCGCCACGGCCTCCTACGAAGGTGGCGCGGGCACTGCGACGGCAGCTGGGGCTCAGCCGGCCTCCGCAGGGGGCCAGCGGCCGACTGCGCCCGGGGGTTGCCGGACTCGCTTCTCTGCTCCAGCTACCGCGGGAGGGTACTCGGTACAGCTGGACGCTCTGCACTTCTCGACTTTTGAGGACAGCGCCCTGACGGCGATGATGGCACAAAAGAATCTATCGCCTTCTCTGCCCGGGAGCATCCTGCAGCCAGTGCAGGAGGAGAGTAGCAAAACTTCTCCTCGATCGCACAGAAGCGACGGGGAGTTTTCCCCCCATTCCCATTACAGTGACTCGGATGAGGCCAGTTAGGAAGGTGACAGAACCCCGAAAACTGTTACAGAAACAAAACCGTCCTTTCCCGGTGCGCGGGAAGCCCTGCGGTTAAAAATCCCCGCACCCTTTAATTTTTGCTCTGCGACAGTCGTTGTTTAGCAACGGCTTGGCTTCAGATGGCAGCTAGATTTGATGATTTGCAAATGCCGCCGCCGTTCCAAACTTCCTACGGTCCATATTGTTTGATGAAAACTTACTGTTAAAGTTGTGTCCCTACCCCACCCCCAAAATTCTGCTCCCCACGTAGACAGTTACGATATTAATTATTTGTACCAATATATGACATCATTATTCTAGTTCCCTGCTGCCAATAACGCTGCTAAATGCTCGCATCTTCTTCTCTGTCGCTGGTTTGGGTTTAATTTATTTCGTGCCCTGGGCATCCATCACTGTGTGTTGCGCGCACTCTCGCAAGGGAGAATTCGTCTTCCAGAGCTGTTTCCCGAAATGCATTATAAAAGGCAAAGTTAATGCTTCCAAAGTAAATAACTTCGGACTGTGGAACTGTTAGAAAGAGAGGAACTTTAAGGTTTATGTATTGTATAGACATACCCAGTATGTATATCTGATCGCGAAAGGGTTGGCATCTTTTCGGAAACTTGGCGCACGCACTTTATCAGCTGCTGCCGATGCTGCTCCGACTCCAGGAGAAAACTTAACTGCCAATTGCAGACCCGGTTGTTTTTTTTTTTAATTTTTAAACATAGCCACTTATACTTCTTAAGCTCTTTGCAAATGTTTGTTTAAAAAATGGAAAAAAAAATTTTAAATCTAGTAGTGTCAAAAGCATTTGGTCAATTTTATTTTGCTTTGTTAATGTTAGAAAACTTATTTATTTTGAGTGTTTGCTACCATTTCTACTTATCTTGATTGGTTTTTTTTTTTTTTACATTTTCTACTCGAGATCATTTTATTTTAATTTAGCAAAGCCAACTGCCATTGTTTTATGTATTTCCTTTTGCAAATGATGAAAATAAACGTGAAAAGTAGCTTTTATTTGTGATTTATTCTATTCCAGCATAACTATTGAAAGTGGTTTTTTAAAGGCCTTGAAAGCTTGATCTAAGTCCTTTATTAAATATGATTTTAAGGCTGGGCATGCTGGCTCACACCTGTAATCCTAGCAGTTTAGGAGACTGAAGCTGGAGGACTCCTGAACCCAGGAGTTTGAGGCCAGCCTGGGCAATGTAGCCAGACCCCATCTCTACCAAAAAAAAAAAATGTTTGTTGTGAATTTATGCGATCTTGCAGTTTTGAAGGAAAGTGCTATATAGTAAACTTTGTACCTTCAGGTAGCTTCCAAAATCTTACCAAAGAAAAGCTCTCGGGTCACAAATTACATTGTGAGATAAAACTTGTCTCAAATTTGCAGCACAGCCCTGCCTGGGTCATAAGCCAGGACCTTTCCCGTCTCCCTTACTCCTAGCCCCAACAGCATCTGCAAGGGGAGGCACTTTCTTCTGGTCTCATAAGATCTAGCCAGAAATAGTTAACTTTACCAGGGCTAGCTGTTTCCACTCATAAAACTGGCCAAACTGAAAGCTTTTCACAGGTCAAAAGCACAGCACAAGTGGGCTCTCCTTTCCTCTTCTCTCGCTCTCTCTTTTGAGGGGGATGGGGGACCTGAAGAGGCAAATAGTACAAGGTAAAATAACTTGAAGGGAAGAGGGAATTGGACCGTTGGTTCCAAACTTAGAAGCCTGAAGTTGCCCTAGGAAATTGTGACCTCCATTCATTTCTTTTCTTCTCAAACCATTCTGCTGCTTCCAGTATCTTACAGAAGCTAATGTGTGTGTTTATTTTTGTCCTTCTGAATTAGCATCTATATAGAAAACATGCAACTACATTTTTGAGTCCGTGGCAGAAATTAAACAGTGCTCTCACTCTCACCGCAGGTGTCCTCACTAAGAAAAAGCCTATTCTGGGTCACAGGTTCCTACATTTTGGAGCTTATATAGTATACATAAGGAGAGAATAGAAAGCTGAAGTTTAAGAAATAAATTGGATTGGCCAAAATGAGAGTGGAACCATTCTACACGAAAGGTTCAGCCACATTCCGCTGGATAAACATCGCTGAATTTGAGACAGTTGATTTTAAGCCAAGTCTTTTATGTTTTGTGTCCTCACTGGGATAACAAATTACAGGAAAAGGAAGGTCGAGGAGGGGGTGGGAGCGAGAAAAGTCTCGTTTAAACGTTCCTGCATCCGCCTCAAAAAGAGGAGTCATAAAAAAAAAAAAAAAAAAAAAAAAAAGGAAACCACAAACTGAGTTTGCAGAAAAAGTAATGATAGTGAAGGAGCGGGGGTTTCTGGTCTCCAGTAGGGAACCGCGGAACCAGCTTTAACTGACCACCTGGGTATCCGTGGCTTTCAGCTGCAGCCTAGGAGAGAAGCTGGGAGAAGAGAGCCCAGCCGCGGCTCGTGACGCTTTCCAGAGCAGAAACAATGCACCTGTCCTTTCGATAACCTTTTGCACCCACCGAGTTTGCTATCCTCACGATAAACATCAGGAATCTTCGGGTTGCTGAATAAATCAAGCGGTTGCTTCTAACACATTTCCATGTCGCTCGCAGTAAGCAGTAAGCAGACCCAACAGGTATGAACACCCAGCATCCCTGCAGGATGAGCGCAGACAAACTTTTATAGTTATTTGGCGTGATGTGTTTGCTCGCCTGTGTAGAGGGAGAGGGAAAGGAGAGACCTACAATTCTTTCACCTGTTAGGAGTCCGAGGAGGGGAAGATGGGGGAAATGTAGTGATTTTTTTCCCCTCTTACAATCTACATTTCATTTTTGAAAACGATTTATACTCATTTTGTGCCAATCAGGGAGGAAAAAAACCTCATCGGAAGTTAGTATTTTTCACGGGTTCATTGAAACCACAAAACAGAAAGGAGCATCAGGATCATCTTCCTTTACATCTTTCAAAAACGAGGAAACTGCCGCCCCTTATTTACCCCCAAAATCACATAGCCAGAAAAATGTCAATGTCCAGAACTGCATCTTAGTTCTCCTGTCCACCAGGCCAATGCTTCTACAAAGTTTTCTCTAAGAAAATCAATAGCTAAGAGCTATAGCTGTCCAAAATTGGAGGACGGTGTCCACACCACCAGAATAGGCAGACATTTATGCTTGTAAATATTAGTGGTATTATAAAGGTATCAGAATTCCTCATCTTCATTGAAGATAGTTACGTTTCCTCTTGAGAGAAAAAACTATTACAGAACATCAGATAAAAAAATTCTGTTATCACACTAATTGAAAAATGATTTTTTTTTCTACCTCACCAAAAATTCAACAAGAAGTCAGATTACTTTGTAGTAAATGGAGTGCTCGAAGTTCAAACGAGAACTTAACCCCCTTTCTTTCCTTCATTCTATTTCTATTTCTTCTTTTTTTTTTTTTATGCTGGCATTTCTTTGAAAGAGATGTACAATCACATTTCCATTTTAAGGTTCTGCTACAGAGTTTGCATAACAAACGTTTGGCAGCTCACTCTCTTACACTCCATTAACAAGCTGTAACATATAGCTGCAGGTTGCTATAATCTCATTAATATTTTGGAAACTTGAATATTGAGTATTTCTGAGTGCTCATTCCCCATATGCCAGACCACTCCTGCCATGCTGACTGGTTCCTTTCTCTCCATTATTAACAATTAGCTTCTACCTTCCAAAGTCAGATCCAAGTATCCAAGATACTAGCAAAGGAATCAACTATGTGTGCAAGTTAAGCATGCTTAATATCACCCAAACAAACAAAGAGGCAGCATTTCTTAAAGTAATGAAGATAGATAAATCGGGTCAGTTCTCTGCAACACTGCTGGTGCTTTCTGAGTTTTATATACTTTAAGCAGCTTGCTTTATATTCTATCTTCGCCTACTACCCCACCACTTTTATTTGTGGAGGGTTTTGGCTCACCACACTTTGGGAAACTTACTTGATTTCACGGAGAGCTGAAGAAAGATTATTTTTGGCAACGGGCAAGTTTAACCACATTCTCTAAGGGACATGGCTAACTGGGGGTCCGGCTTGACCAGAAAAAAAGGGGAGGGGGGGTAGGTTAATTTCCTTAATCTTAACCGGGGCAGGACCATTACTTTCCAGAGGCCTTTCCATTGATTTTGGAGATTTAAACCTGAACCAAGGAAGTGGTCATTTATGAAAGGATATCGTGTAATATTTTTCTCCAATGCTCTTTTGAAAGTTCAAGAAAAAGATTAACAACTGAATCTTGCCAGTTCAAAACCCAATTAGAATTGGAAAGGAAAAATAACAGACGCACTTACTAAATACAATCCAGACTTGTCAATTGCAATCTTGAAAAAACAGCAAGTGTTAGAGAGAGTTAAAGATAACCAGCAGTCATTGAATTGCTTACCACTAATATTTAAAAGTAATATGGTGGTACCATATTATTCGTATTATGGTGGTACCTAGAAGGAGTAGGAGGTGAGGAGAGAATATAACAAAGGCCTAAGTTTTCCTCCTTCTTTTCGACTCTGCTCTCAGCAGCCGCCCTCGCCCCTGGGCCCAGCAGAGTCCCAGCGGCGGACCACTGAGGTCCCTCTCCCCTACTCGGCCCCTAACACGAAGGGCGAACCGAGAGGAGAATGGGTTAAATCCTGGATGCCCAGGAGAGGCAGGGGAGGAGAGAAGACAGAGGAAGATAAAGAAAAGGACAGGAACCAAGAAGCGTGGGGGTGGTTCGCCGTAATGTGAGTGTTTCTTAATTAGAGAAAGGTTGACAATAGAGGGGCTGGCAGAGGCTCCTGGCCGCGGTGCGGAGCGTCTGGAGCGGAGCACGCGCTGTCAGCTGGTGAGCGCACTCTCCTTTCAGGCCGCTCCCCGGGGAGCTGCGCGGCCACATTTAACACCATCATCACCCCTCCCCGGCCTCCTCACCCTCGGCCTCCTCCTCGCCGACAGCCTTCCTCGGCCCCCCGCCGGCCGAGCTCACTGTAGCGAGCGTCTCCGGCCGCCCCCGGCGCTCGTCCCGGCCCCTCTCCTCCCCCGGCTTCACCGCGGGGGCCGCCACTGCCCACTGC